GGTGATTAAATTACTATTCAAGATATAAGTAGTTACTATTAGCTCTTTATTCCTTGTAAAAATAATTGGATATCATATGCAAGGAATATTGTTGTCAACAAGGCTTTCTAAATCATCTAAAAGTAAGCAATTACATGTGATGAGTTAAAATATGAGGTAGAAACAAGATAAAGAAAATATGTTTCTAGTTTTGAGCATAGCCTGAGATATATAGTTTACAGTTTAAGTTGTTATCAGGGCATCTTTTGTTAAATGAGTTTGCTAAAATCAGCAAAGATAAGCTAGAGAATGCAAAGTAGTAAGAAAGTAGAGGTTGCAATATTAATACTTAAAAATATTGTTCTTAATACTAAGGCAAATGTAATGGTTAGCTTGGAAAAATTATGCATCAGAGCAAGATCAACAGCAAAGAAAAACTATAAGTTTAAAGATTTAACCACTTTTGTACTTGCTGTAATCATCTATAAGAAAGAAAGTCAGAAATAAAGTTCCAACAGAGCAAATTAAGAAAGAATGGAGTTAAGAATGTAGTAGCGATTGATTTGTCTCTAAATCTAAAACAAACAGAGGAGAAGAGAACTTAAAAAGTCCAAAGGTCGAGAGACCCTGGAGAAAAAGAGGAGATTGTAAAACAAGAGATTCCAATATATGGTACAGAAAAACTTTGGAGAAATTACATCGAGACTGAAACAGAAATGCAGGAATTAAATGGAAATAAATGAATGGGGAAGATGCTAACTCTAGGGTATTTTGCAAGGATTTATTCATGCAGGAGACAATTTAGCTGAGCATTACTTGAAGCAAGCTTAAAGCATGTCTCCAGTACTTACAGTACTTTCGGAAATAAGAGTTCAGGCTCAAATTTCTAAGGGCTTCTTTTTAGGTAAGGTTAATATTATACAAAAATCACAAAATAAATCACATGAGAATTTTAGCCATGTGTTAATGGCAGAATAACTAGCTAATGTTATCACACTAATGTTTAAATCTGGATTTAATTTTGAAATATAAAAGGAAATACTTATGTATTTGCATTAATTAACACAATATCAATGAATAAGGAGATAATAGTAGTAAAAGGCATGGTGAATATTATTTAATAATATTTCATCAAAAACATTTAGAAATATTAAAAATTGGCACTTTAGGTGGAAAATTTGAGTAAGAAAATCCAACAATAGATAATGAAATAAAAAATTGAAAGATTTTGTTTAAACAAAAAATATAGACAAAACATAAGCCAGAGATTGTTAAAGGATAATCAATATGTTTTGAATATTTTAAGGAGCGTTGTGATATAAATCCAATTTATTGGCTAGTTATCGAGCGTCTATATCAAATTAAGAAGGTTCAGCAAAAGGAAGTGATAGAACGAAAAATAAAAGGAAGAGAAAATTAACAAAAGGAGAAAAACTTAGATTTGGTGAAGGAGTTATTAGAGTATTAGGCATAGTAAAATATTTTAGCAAGATCGAGAGTTTATGACCCTCAAAAAAGAACAGTGCACAAACTTGATGTTGTAACTAAGGGGCAAAATCATTGAGTTATGAATTTCTGTATGAATATTGTGATATTGATAAAGTGGTATGTTGAATAAATGGAGCATAGGTTGCTGGTTTGAAATAAATTCACTATGGATTCAAATGATTCAATAGTAAAGAACCTTATACTGTTTTTTTAGTGATCGGCTACCTGATGGAGTAAGAAGGCAATAGATCTATACATGCATCAGATAAATCATAATCTATTAATATATCAAAAGGTTGATGATTGGACTGACCAATTCTGAAGCTCATTATGAAAATTTAACCATTCCTAAATCTTATTAATAAAAAGATTTAAACAGTATTTCAATTCCTCAATTTAATTACTATCCTCTGCACAAGCTTTCTAAATTAATTCAGCAAGATATTCTCTCAGCAATTTAAACCAAGAAAACATTCAGCATCTGGTAATTCACTTTATAATTCCCCATCTTTCAAATAAAATCAACCAATAATAATATTCTGAGAAATCCATATTATACATTCATTTTCAAAAATAATCCTAGACTCTTGAAAAACCATTTCTTTAATGTATGTAAATTTTTGATCCTATGATTAGTCTCATCTTGATATTTTGGAAGATATCTTATTCGTTATATTTAATTATTTTTCTAATTCTAATACTAAAATTTAATGAATAAAAATTAAATAGCAAAAGACTTAAGCAATAAAGATAGAAAATTAAGATAAAAGAACAAAGACTTCAAAATAGTGAATGGCAATGCAATATAAATTTAGAAGGTTATAAACAAAAATAGATTAATGAAATTTATTATTCTGATAAATACGAAATGAGCTCATTTATTTCAAAAAGATATCCAACAGTTCAAATAAAATATAATTCAATTGTTATATGAATTGAAATTTATTTGCAACTAATTGATTCATAGTACCCTTCTCTAGTAAAAATATCGTATCATCTATAATCATAAAATATCAAAAATATTAATAATTTTTCAAGAGGATAATAATTTTAATAAATAAAATTTCTATATCAGAAATCAGCAGTTTCCAATCTCTCTACCCGTTTTCTTTGTTCCACTTATAATAACTTTCTGAAGGACCCAAAGCGATTCCATTCTAGGTCCTGAGGTGGCAGGAGTCGTTCAAGATTAGCCAGTTGCCTGGGCTTTTTGGGAATCCACTTTGCCTTGGCAATTTTGAATGTGGCCTTTTCTCCTCCTGCCTCTCCGGAGGAGTAGCAGAACAAGGAACCAATATCATTTAAAATATATGATAATTAAATTGTTTAACTAAAAAATTTTTATTAGCTGATTTTATTAAATTATCGTTTGAATAACCATCAAAGAGGTGTATAATTAATTTTTTTTGAGTCCACAAATTCAATTTATTGAACAATTTTAGCAACTCTTATCATTGTTAAGATTACATAAAGTAGTTGCAATTCGGATTGTATTGTTGAAGGCTTCATAGAGCCTATATTTTGAATAGCAATTTAAAACACTTGCAGAAAACATTCACCATTAGTGTTAATTAAATAAATTTTAATAAAAAGGCTTTTATTAAATTAATTATTAATTAATGTTTGAATTTAAAGTAATAGAAAAAGAAGATGATTTATAATATCTGATATCAAATTTGCCAAAAGTTTGTGATAATATCTCTAAAACAAATACCAAGTTCAAAGTTCGTTATAGAAAAAAATAAATCTTGTAAATCACTGGTTAATCATTTTTTAAAATGTAAGTTGTTCAAATAATTAGATAAGCTAAAAAATAATTAAAGTCACGTCACTCCCTTAAAAATATAAATTTTATTCAACACTAGCAAGATAAAACTTTGTTTAAAGACATAAACCATCAGTTAATCCAAAAATGTAAAAAAAATTAGAACAACATAAATTGGAATTTTTTAAAATATGGCAAAACACAACATGAATTTCTAGCTGATTTAATAGAATATAGAAAAAAAATTTGATATTAACAGATTTCAAAAAGTAAAATATCAAAATAAGCAGTAAAATTTGAATATATTATTTGGTAATATTATAGAAAAAGTGGATAGATTTGTAGAAGCTTTAAAATATTATGATTATGCGATTGAATAAAACCCTGAAGATTCAGACTTGTATAATGGGAAAGGTAAAAACAATAGAAATATTAAATATAGTTAATACATTAGATAAATTAAATAGATTTGAAGAAGCTTTATAATATTATGATTATGCAATTTAAAAAGACTCCGATAATGCTGATATATTTTATAATAAAGGTAAAAATGATAGAATAATTCAATTTAGCACTGTTATTGAATATTTTAAATCGATTTGAAGAAGCCTTGAAATATTATGATTATGCAATTTTTAAAATCTTGATGATGCTGATATATTTAATAATAAAGGTAACACTTATTTAATAATAAATACAGCAATTACATTAGAAAGTTTAAAACTCTATGAAGAAGCTCTAAAACATTATGATTATGCAATTTAAAAATCCTGATGATGCTGATATATTTAATAATAAAGGTTAAATTGGTTTAATCATAAAATATAGCAATGCTACTGTTTGCTTTACATCTATTTGAAGAAGCTTTATAATTCTATGATTATGCAATTTAAAAAAATCCTGATGATGCTGATAAATTTTAT